TGAAAATAAAGTGCTGCTGCCATATATGGGTGGGTACTATTCAGTTTTCACTTTCCAGTCTTGATAGAGTTCAAAAGTATCTCTGCATCCTTTTGGGTGACAAATTATTTTCTACCCTCCAATCCCTTTCTCACAGATGAAACCTTGCTAATTACATGGAAAGTGTCCAGATGAACTACATTCCTTGATTCTACCTGTTGTTAACTACATGACTAAGACCCACCATGCCTGCACATTGTAGCAAACAACCTTCATTCCCTTCATGTTGCTTTGGTGAGATGTAGGTTCCACTCAAACAGCTTTTTTTCTACAAACCACTGCTCTGTGGGACCAACTCCCTAGAGAATGCTTCCTTGATCACTACAATCTTATCCTATTCATGTCTAGGGTTAACTGTTACCATCTCCACATATTTGCATAGACTATGTTTTATACTTTGTAAAAACAAAACAAAAAAACTGACCACCTGTCGTCTTGAAATAATGTAACCAAAATACAAAGTGCCTTTATGTGTGTGTGTGTGGGGGGGTGTATGTGCTCCTTGCATTGAGACCTTGTTACATCTATTGTGTTAGGTTGACACATAAAATTTACTGGGGTCATGATCAACATAGTCTTTCATGGCATCAAATTATCTACCTGTCTGAGCCACGCGTTTGTTCTCACCTCTTGATAAAGATAATTTGTCTTGGATAAAATTCAGAATATCTCCCTTGCCCCCACAGGTAGCTTGTATTTCAAATTAACCCAGTGCAAGATACTTTTTCTGGTATATATATATATATATATATATATATATATATATATATATATATATATATATATATATATATAGTCTATGTATCTCTCTCTCTCTCTCACCTCTTACTCCCCAGCATTGATATGTATGCTATACAGACGTAATGAGGAAGCTCAGTCAGTTTATCCTTCGGTATCTCCTATTCTCATCAAATTTAAGCGCATGAAGTGATTGAGTTTATTAGACAATTTCTTTCTTTTCTTTTTTTTTTTTTTTTCTTTCAGTCAACTATTTTTATCATTACTTTCACTTTGTTTTTTTTTTTTTTTTTTTTTTTTAGCCAACAGTTATAATTCTCTTTTAATTTAAATTTTTTTTTTTTTTTTTTTACCTATGCTATTTGTCTTCACTTTCTGTTGTCACTTTCATCCACACTCCAACCTTCTATATGAAGTATTGATTGATTTTGTAATGAAAAGGGAAGTGAGGATTTGGATGAAGAGGCTGCCTCACTAGTTTTCAGTTTTCTTAGTTGGCTATTGACATTGAGCTTCTACCATTCCTTTGCTCATGTAGTGTACACACACACACACACACATTTGCACACACTCCCCCCTCTCTTAACCTTGGCATTGTGCTTGTGTAGGCTTAATTCAACCACTTGTCTTTCATGCCAACTTACAGTAGTTGCTTAGCACAATTTGTGTACATTATCCAGGATCACAGATGAACTTAGCTTAATGCTTTCTTATTAATAAATAGTTAAATCAAAAGAAAATTCATTTTATGTAGTTTCTCTTCAGAAAATATTTTTCATGATTAAGTTATATCTTTTCATTACATGAATTTAATATTTTCTGAATAAAATATAATTTAATTTTTGAATTGTTATATACACATAAATAGGTAACTAATTTTGAAAGCTAGAGACTTTTTTTTTATTTTGTTTATCCGTCATTTCTAATATTTTTATTAGAAAAATAAAGAAACTATTTGTTGTGTTAAAATGCCTGTTATTGCTTATTTTATGTTAAAACAAATCCCATTTTAATGTTTTATCAATGTTTATCCATTTCAAGAAGAAAATTTACAACTGATCACAATAGATTCTATCCAGGTATTTTTTTCTCATTTCTAATCCAATTCTTCTGTCTCACTCTAAAAGACACACACACACACACACACACACACACACACACACACATATATATATATATAATTTTCCTAAATGGCTGCTTTTGTGCCAAGTTACTATTTTTAACTTATTGAATTGTAGTATGTATGCTTTGTTTGCACTATCTTTACTCTGTTGCAGCATCTCCTGTCCTGCTGCTGTGTTGTATATGCATATCACTGATGCACCTAACAGGAAAATGCTTTTGAAGGTCATATCAGTGGAGGTCAAAGATGCTCTCTGTCTATTCATATCCCTAATATTTTTGTCTGCTTTGCTATTTCCTATATTTATTCAGAGGACTATTAATATATCTACATTGCTTTTTTGTTGTTTACGTATTCTTTTCAAGTACTGATGGAATGTGGAATGTCATCGTTTTAGTGCCTGTTCTTAAATTATCACTACTGCCATTGTCGATAGAAAATTGAAAATCACAACTAAAATATTTGTCTAAAATTTTCATGGAATTATTTTGTTGTATTTTAGGGGGAAAAAAAAGTCTCTCTTTTCCTTTTTATATTTAAAATTTTGAATTTAAAATGAAATCCAGTTTAAAGTAAAAATCCATTTATTCTTACTGATGGGACTTACCTGATCATGTGATTGTAATCTAAACACTTCTCTTACGTTCTTACACTGAATTATTTCATTTTTTTGCTCTTTTTTTTTTTTCCTCATTCTGTTACGTTAGTAAAAATCTAATTAGTTCTTGGTTAGGTATCTTCATTATCTAACTTGTTCAATTAATAGCTTTATACAACTATCCAGGTTTTCTGTAGTTGACCTCTTTTAAATGTCCTTAACCTTGTACTTTGTAAATCTTTTAGAAGGGATTTGTGATTTTTTTTTCAGTCTTTAATATTTATTACTCTAAATTAATAGTCATATCTAATGTTTTCATCAGTTCAAAATTTTTTGCTCATTTTATTTTGTATTTTAATTTTTTATATATTGTTGAATAAAAAAAAAAATTATGAATATGTTCTTTTCTAAAATGCCTTAAACAGAATTTAATCTTTTTGTTTAAAATATCATTTTTTTCTTATCTCATCAATGCAGTTTAAAACAAATAACCTTATTAATATCCTTATATAAATTTTATTCTTAAACATATTTTCCCTAGTGTCCAGAGCTTGTACAATATAGCTACTCATTTTTCCTAATCTTTTCAGTGAACCTTCATAAAATAAATGTGTTTAGTATTCATAAAATAGTTGTTTTCTTTTTGTTTTTTTACAATAATGTTCATTCTATACAAGATAAGGCTCAAGAGCTACTCAAGGTAGATGGTTATAGTTAGAAGTAAGGGGTACGTTTATGTGGGGAAGATAATGGTTAACCCTAGGCTTTAACAGATTAAGATTGTAGTGATTGCGGAAGCATCCTTTTGGGAGTTGGTTCCACAAAGTATCTGTTCAAGAGAACAGGCTGTTTGAATAGAACTTTTCACCAATGGGATATGAAAGGAATGAGGCTGGCTCACTATCATATGCATGACATGGTGACACTTAACCATGACAATTAGAACTGGTGGAACTAAGGAATATAGTTTGTCTGAACACTTTCAATAGAAATGGCAAGAGGCTTGCAATGTTTTGTCTGGATAAGGTAGGGGTTGTTGTAAATGATACAATCTGGTGGTCCAGGCACTTGAGCCTAAATTTGTAATGATTCTGTGTGAAGAGAATGTATTACCTGTGTTGAAATAGACTAGTCCTAACAGTTTGTTATAGATTTGTTATAAAAAGTATATATGACAAGGTGTCTTTTCCCATGTTTGTATGGGAAATATTTTGATTGTTTTTTTTTATTTTTATTTTTTTAAGAAAATGGTAGTTTTTGTTTTTTGTCGATGTAGCTATTAGCACCAATAGTACTTAGTACAAATTAACAAGTCTTTCATTTTTTTTGCCAATAACTTTCATATTTCTGGCCCGAATTCTTTTAACAATTGGACAGTTTACTTTTAAAGTTATATTATCAATTCGATATATGAACATAATCTAATAGTATTTCACTGACAAACCAGGTTTTCTTTGAAACATGAATTTTTCAGAATTTGAACATTATTATAGCTAGATTAACAAAGATTTTTAAAAAAAAGTTTTTTTGTTTGTTTTTTTTTTTTATCAAGGCAGTCTTTATGAATGAACACAGAACTGTATTATTACATTAATACTTCATTTTTGTAGTAAGAATACGAGCAATATATTTTCATAGTTTAAAAAAAAGAAATACCACCAATACATTACTGGAGAAGTAAGAGAAAAATTACCAGCAATAAATTTGAGAAAAAAATTGCCAGACATCTCCCCAAAATTTCATTTTGGCATTAAATGACCCATAATGAGTGTATATGCCATTAACCAAACTAAAATATTGACACTGACAATACTCATGAAATGACCTGTGTGAATGATTAAATAAATTTCACTCATGACAGAAGAAATGCCAGATTATTTACATAATATTGATATACTGTTAATTGTAAGCTATCCAATTTTAAATGCATTTGAGTTAGAAATTGAGTTATTTGAAAAAAAAGTTAAATATTCCACTTTTCTAAATCATTGTTGTAGGTGTTAGTGAAACTTTCAACAGGGGAGAAAAATTCTATTTAATTTTAATCTGCTGAAAATGCTTCAATTTACTAAAAAGTAAATGTGCATGTAATATAGTTTGATTGCATCAAATGATCAAATATATGCATCTGTACGTAACTGTATCAACAGTACTTGGACCTCATATTAATATAGTATATCCTCTTAAACCATTAATACAAGCCTGTACTTTCACATGCATGTGGTCATACAGATGATTAATACCATCTTGTAATACATGAGTTTATATTTCTTGCACCTCTTGTTGCTGTATAGCAAGAGATAGAAGGCTAACTGAATATCATCCAAGGCAATACCTATAACATACCTGGTAGCCATGCAACTGGGGCTCACGACTGGGGGTAAACATAAATCACTACTAAATAACAATTACTGAAATTATTTTTAGTAATGAACTTTTTAGATTCACCTTGGTGTCATCCCATCATATCCAAAACATATTGCTTATGGTCACATTATATATAAACACAGGTTCCCATACAATCACTGAAGTTAAGCAATGTCAAAACTGGTCAGTACCTAAATGGGTGACTGCTTGGGAATACCAAGTGCTGTAAGCTTAGATTTGCAGGTGATGTAATGGATAATGGCTCAGAATGGTTAATTGGACAGCCAAGTTCCTATTCCTGTTGGGTTCATTATATTCACTTATATGTAAATACCTTTTGGAAAGTTATGAATCCACCTCTTCTCCCCCCAGTTATGGGTTAATTAGTAAGACTTGTATTGCTAAAACATTATCTCCAAAAATAAAATAAAATTGTGTACAAAATATATAGATTTCAGCAATAAATAACCCATAGAAGTTGATATGCTGCGAAACAAAAACAACCAACCTAAACATATTCAGTGGGTCTGGCAGATGTGTTTAGACAAGGAAGTTATCAAACATCTTACAAAGCAAGTTGAGTAGAATTGTTTTCCTCATGCAAAAATGGCAGCAGAATGGATTAAAAATGTTCAGTATTTTCTCAACAAACACCAAAGTAGAGTGAGATTTCTAACTTAGAGCACTGGACAGTTGGGTCTCTGTGTCATGGGCAAATATACTTGTGAAAATGTTGCCAGAATAAATAACCTCTCTTATCTGAAGACAGAAACTGCTCCCATTGATGAACACGACAGAGCACCATTCAACCATGCTGGTCACCATCTTGTGACACCACTGGAGATATAGTCATATGTCCAAATCTGACTACAGTCATGTATATTTGTTGTCCTGCTGCAGTGAAACAAATTTCCACTGGCTCTCCTTGGTGCTGTGCTGTCTGCTTTTGGTGCCTTTACAATATGTTTATCTTGGTAAGCATCTGTACTATGTAGCCATCCAAAACTTGGTTTTGTGGTATAGGAATATTCATTTGACCACTGTTAACACTGAAGTGCTACCAATGCGCCATCACCAACATGCACATCAGTTCTTTGAAATCACCAATCAGCTCATTGAATGTCCATAAGCTGACCCTCTGAAACAGCTCTAAATGATCAAAAGAACATGATACCTGCTTGTACTGAATTCTTTAATGACACTGAACCTTGTTGCCATCTGTGTCACTGTTTAAAACTCAGACACAGGTATTGGTGTTAATATATCACAAAATGGCATTGAAAATTTCATCAGAATACCTACTGCCCTCTTTTATACACATTGTACCAAGGTAAAAATCTGCATCCTCCTTCAGGTATTGCAATTTTATTTTCTGTCATGTTTTATTTAGTTCAATATCAAAAACATTTTGAAATATCTAATTTTTATAGATCTTTAACTTGATGAGTTATTTTTTTTTTTTTTTAAACATGCTTTCTAATTTATACAAATTTACAATGGTGTTCACTCTGTACAAGACCCAAGAGCCACTCGAGGTAGAGAGTAAGAGGCATCATACCAAGCCAGAAGACAATGCTGAGATGCAAGGGGCCACCAGAAGTGAAAGAGAAAGAAAAGGCTGTGGAAGGAATTGGAAACCCAATCTGTTATAATTTTGTCTTTGTTCAAAATAGCCAAGAATTAGGAAGGCCATAGTTAGAGATTATTGAAGGAACAAAAAACTTGGTAGAGGAAACAAAGAAGAGGTTTTATTAAATACTTATACTTAGAATGGAATAACTTGAGTAAATCAAATACTACTCAGATCCTACTCTAATGTGGTTACTTTCCATATTTATAAGTAGAAGCAGTCTATTGTCATAGAAGTAGGGAAGGGCAGGAAGTATGCACAGTTCTACTCTACAACACAATCATAAACAGGAAACAAGAATAAATCTCTACTCCTGATCAAAAGACTGGGGAGTATGTGAATTGGGTGATAGGCAAACCTATTGAGGAAGAAAATGTAAATCAATAGTAAATAAAACTTCAGTTTTAGGTGGAAACATTAGAACTATAGAGTTAAAGTAGGAAATATTTAATGCTGACACTGGTAAAGTAACTGAAAATGAATGTAGTTCTAACCCTCTTAAACTTTGCAAGATGTTTTTGTACATATTTTTTAATGTGCCTTACATAGTGTTTTATTAGGTAAATTAATGACAAAGAAGAAAAACATTTGTATGATTATTCTGTCCTTTAGGACTTCATTGGACTAAATTAATATTTATGTTGATGGAATTAAATATGTGTAGGGAGGGGGAATATAAAAATGCAAGCATTGCTTATAATTATGCATGGACAGGAAACACTGAAAAAATATTTTTTACAATCTAAAAATATTTCCTGGCTTTAAACAACCTGCAAAAATTTACATTGTTATTTTCAAGGAAATCAGTCTTGAACCTGGGATCAAGATATGTTGTTAGAATAAGGTTTCTTTGTTCCATGTAGCTAAATCTAGCATTAAAAGAAGCTTTCCATGCTGAAACCCATCAGTCAGTCACTTTTTTTCTCTCCTTTTAAAAATGTGATGACTTTAATGTGTGCTATAATATAAAAGGCAGTTGCTTTTCTATTACTTAATAAATTTGTACAATCATTGAATTGTTTAAGCATTTTTAGTAATTTCTCTAAAAATTTTCCATTGGTTGGATTCTAAATGTGGTTTTACCTGATCATTGCAATATGAGATAAGAGCATTTTTTTTTGTTGTTGTTCAAATACTCTGGACATCATATAATACTGATTGTCCCATCTTGTCTGGACATCCTAAATAAATTTATGATCTGGTAAATTAAGTTTTTTTTTTCTGGTATTCCTAGTACATTTTCAAAAGCTGCAGGTTAGTGATTTAAATGCCCAACTATTTGTTTACAAATAGAAAGCATATCTTTCACATACTTTTGTGCAAAGATGGTCAACTGCAAGGTGTGTAGAAAATAAGGTAATGACTTATATTGGGCTTGTACACCTGCTGCTGCCCTATTAGCTGCATTCATGAGAACATGAATTTTACTATGAGAAATATTAAATTGCTGTACTGTCTCTGAGATATTTGTTTTGAAAACTATAAAATTTTAAGAAATGCATGAATATCATAGAAACAAATTTAAGTTTCATAAAAAGATTGATTACTTTAAGTCACAATTATTAAAAAGATATATTTTTGTTTATGTAGTATACTATGTAAACAAAAGTATATCATTCAGATTTAATCAACAAATCATTTTCTGGACATAAATTTTTTTTCTCTAGGTTTTTAAATGCAGACACTTTTTTCTCTTTTTATGAATTTAAAAAAAAACATAATAAAAATTGTCTTAAAAGAGAGCCTGGTAGAACAAAGTAAATTCATTTTGTGTTTATAATACATAATTTTGATTATAATTATTAAATTAATAATTTATAATATTAAAATGGGGGAATTAATGTTTAAAAAGAAATAAAAAAATTATTTTGAACTGAAACAGATTTTAAACTAGTGAACTTTATGGAAAGTTTGAGAACTGAGTAGAAACATGCACATTTTTTTTCTTTTTATATATATATATATATATATATATACACACACACACACACACACACACACACACACACACACACACACACATATATATATATATATATATATATATATATATATATATACACACACACACACACACACACAAGTGAAATAAATTTATATCATACTTAGGTGTTATTATGATCTATAGATTTCAGTTTTACTGATAGTTTAAAATCAATAAATGTTTATATCTTTTTATCATGAGTACCAGGAATGAAAAATTAAGTTTTAAGAAAAAAAAAAAAGAAAATCCAAAGAATTGTTTCTGGAATAAGAAATTAGGTTAAAAATTCTCCAATTTCAATGCTAATTCCAATACATCCAAAATTACTGATTCTCAATTCCAATCAATCATTCCTTCAGTAGTTAATACACGTAACTATTGTGATTTCTTTCCAATGATTTATCTTCCGGCCTCTGAGCGGGTGATTGGAGGTTTTGAGGAGCGGGGAACCAACTCTTAACTGCTTTTGTTCACAGGTCCACCCTAACCTGGGGTGGTAATACTTGTTAGGGACCATAGTGAACCCCCAAACAAAAACAAAACACTATGAAAGTATAAAAATACAAGCAATACATTTTTATATAAAAAAATTACCAACCATACCTATTTATAGTAAGAATTACCAGCAATATATTCTATCCGTAGTTTGAAGGCATATAATTGCACTCAAAATATATTTAGTTGAAGCCATAAAATTGTGTTCAAATATTTAGCTTTCAGCATGGTATGCCACTAAACAAAAAACCCAGGTATGGGCAAATACTGCCCCACCAAAAACAAGCAAAAATCAACAGTGTATTTTACAAAATGAGCAGCAATACATTTTTATAGCAAAATCACAATCAATGCAACACTAAGAAAATATAAAAATATATTTTTATAGTAAAATTACCCCCAACTTATTTTATGATCCACAAAATATACATCTAAAAAAAAAAATACCTTTACCTTGAAAGTATAAAATTATGTACAAAATATCTGTAGTTGAAAGGATAAAAATTACATGCAAAATCAACCGTCCAACAATTTAACTCTTTCTTTTTCTGCAAAAATCTGCAACTACTGTTTTAAATCCTCATTACTTTATTTCCTTTTCTTAATCTTTCGATTCATCCACAAGAAATAATCTGAATTTAGTTGATGTCAAAAATAAACCTAAGATTTATGGGAAATAATATTCATTATTTCCTTTTGTTATAATAATTGGCACAACCACTGTTGCCAGATATTCGGTTATTTTTGAAAGCCCAACACTGCTCAATTTTGAATTTTGTTACTTGTCACTTTGGGGTCTGCTTTTAAAATAAGCTGGGCTAATTTGGGTTACAACTGAGAAAATTAGTTCCAAAATTTAGTAGTGCTGGCTTTTCAAGTGTAACCCAATTCAGCAAAACTGGATACAACCCAATCACTTTTGTTTTTTCTTTTTTATTGGTTGGGGCAAGGTGCACACACATTCTATAATCGTTCATCACACGATACCATTTCTGTGCTCATGTGTTTTAATTGTAAATTATTAATATTTGATGAAAATTACCTTGAAATGCCCTCTATACCAAACACAAGTGTTACATGGTAGTTAAGATTATTTATTAATACCAGTGATAATTTTTTTTTTCTTTGTAAGGTTTATTTTGAGTGTTTTATAATCTGTTGTCATCTACTTCTTCTGTTTGCAGCATTAATAAGAATATCAGTTTAAAAAGATTCCAACAAGACAAGGCTAACTAGTGTCTATTCTTTCAGCTTATGAAATACTTTTTCTTCCTTTACAATTAATAAGCATCACCTACTCAGCATTGAGGCAGGGAATTCAGAAGTAGAAATTCTTCTACATTAAGAAACAGTGAATGAAAATGCTCTGATCAAGTAATAAGGAAAAGAATAAAGTCTATAACAATATTAATGATGACTACATATTTTGATATGGTTTTACAACTTAAATTCAGCCAAAAAAAATTTTTTTTTTTTTTTTTTTTACTTTAAGGACCTGTGTAATATTTGTTTCATTTTTATCTCCCCAGGTGATCCTGAACACTCAAAATGCCTGCCGTTAAAGGGGATGGAATGCGTGGACTGTCAGTCTTTATATCTGACATCCGAAATTGTAAGTTTCTGTTCCCATTTACCATTTATTTCTATTTTGAATTTTCATTCTCTCTCAAACTTGTATCTCTCTAGCAGTATAACCCGTCTTTGACTGGGTCTTTCATTTGGTGCAACTAAGGCACATCCCCAAATGGGGGATTAACAATTTGAGGGGGAGGCTAAAAAAGGAACTGTATAATAATAAATAATATTACTGTAATAATTTAAACTATTTTTATTAAAGTTTTTATGAAAGATATATATCCAAAAACAGATAGTAAATGGTAAAATATTGCTGAGAGTTATAATGGACAGGAAGTAGTGGAGAGCCATTGTTGGCAACAATTTGGACTCAAAACTGGCACTGAAGAATTATCTATCAAACAAAAAAATTTCATCAAAATTGGATGAAAACTGTGGAAATGCATAAACAACATCCAATCACACACACACACACACTTTGAGAATTATAGATATAGATAATACTAGAAGGAAATTGAACAGAATAGGCTATGCTAGATTTTTAAATTTCAAGATTAGATAAACTTTCTATTTGGCTTTTAACACCCACCTCCAACTGCCACCAATTACTATATCTTTGGAGTATTTGAGAGCATTATGCCTAAGTCCACTAAATGCCCTTGTGGACCCTCTGTGAGACAATGATAAATGTGATAAGCTGTGTTGACTTATTTATTGCTGACAAAAATGCATAGCTAATGGGTGTTGCTTGTATGGAAAAATAATGCCTTGTAGTTGTAAACCTACTCTGTTCCATGGTGTTATTGTGCTCTCCATATCTATTGTTGTTTCCATGGAAATAAATTGGAGCCATTTGCTTTATAGCAAAAGATGCCATTGAAAAGCTAAGCAAAGTGCTAAGAAACAGGAAAATTCTATGAGAAATAAAGAAATACCTATTGAAATGTTAGGTAATAACAATTCTCTTGTATGGCAGCAATTGCTGGACAAGCTTATCACAGATGAAGAGTAAACTTTATGCAACAGAGATTTAGTTCTTTTCTACGAAAGAATATTGACAATACCATAGATGAAGCCTGTAATCAACTAGAAAGTTTTAAGGAAAATGGGAACAAAAAAGACACCTTTACTCAGAATCTGAAAGAGACAATTGAAATTTCTAGGATTCAATGAGGAAGGAGGTCTTGGAGAATTTGGCACTTACAAGACATATCAAAGTCAAAAGGAACAGGAGGAGGCAGCAGGCTACATACCTGACAAGATTATGTGAAGATGCAGAATGTGGGGCAGGAGAGATGATAAGACAGATGTTACAAAGAGCTACAAAAGTTAAAAATTTGTGGAGATTCATGACCTGAAAAAACTTCATTAGAAACGAGTACTGAACTGTTATGTAATATCAGTCCTCCTATATGGCAGTAAATGCTGGGCACTCTCTTCACAGATGAAGAAGAGACTTGAAGCAACAGAAATCTGGTTCTACAGAGGCATGTTGAGAATACCATAGACCAAAAATGTGAGCAAGAACAAAGTTTTGGAGAAAATTATAGTTAACATCATAAAGAGCAAGTTGAAATTTCTAGGGTGCATAATGAGGAAAGAGGGCTTGGAAAATTTGATACTCACAGGAAAAATTGAAAGCAAGAAGGGCAGAGGAAAACAAGCATGCTTGAGTGAAATGGATAACTGAACAAGGTTTAGGAGTGATAACAAAAAGACAAAATTTATTAAGAGCTCCAAAAGACAGGAAATTATGGAGAGGCATGATCACTAATGCCCTGAACGGACATGGCACGTAGACATTAACTATATCTTTTTTGTCTTATTTCTCTTAAAATAGTTTATCATGAACATGACATTTAACTCTACATTCAGAGCAACTGCTGTCTCATTTGAAAATAATTTTTTCTTTTACCTATACTACTACTTAAGTTGTTGTCTTTAAATATTAATGCTTTGAGTGATAAAGCAAAAATATGCATAGAAAAGGCAGCCTGAAATATGGTATCGTAGTTATGATTGTTGATATTAAAACTAATTCCCAGGTATTTTTTTTCTTGTATTATATTTTACATTAAAATCCTATTCATAGTTAACCTCAATCGTAGCTGATGAGGTTAACTGTTAATAAACAGTTTGCATCTTGTGTAAATTCTTGCACTTTTAATCTTGCTTTCATAACAGAAATAGAGCAATTACCTTTATTCTAAATATATCCTTGCCACTGTTACCCATGTTCTAAATATAGTTTTGCTCTCTTTCATATGTGTATCTAGTTCTTAGAATTTTCATTAGCAGCCTTCTCTTTCGACCTTTTTGCCTGATGATATACTCATTTCTTTTATTCCTTGTCATTTCTGTACTTATTTTCTCTGTTGTAAAGTGAAAATGATGTTGGCTAGACACAATTTCCCACCTATTTCTATGTTGTTTTTGTCCTCCCCCTCCTTTTTATCACACATTTTAAGAACTTGTTTTCACTGTATATCTGTTTAATTTACAAGTGAAAAAAAATTATTGATATACTTCTTAGTACTAATTCAATTGATGGTTCCAGTTGTAAAAACTTTTTTTTAGAAATAATTTTTGTCGATTACCATTCTTTACACATTGCTTGGGCTGGGGCACTTTTCAGAATCAAATAAGATTTTTTTTAAAAATTATTTTAGAAGGTAGGTGTGGGGGTCCTGTTCATAAATAATATCAATACAATGTGAAATCAATCCCTGACTGTTACAGAGTTATCAGAACTGAGCAGTTTGTTTTCAAATATCACATTTCAAACCATGCTTATTGAAATCTGTAAATTTTTTAATTTTCAGGATTTAATGTTATTTAATTTTTGTTTCTTAAGCTTTTTACTAAAATTTGTCAAATAACAAACAGCTATATACATGTTCAATTAAAGAAAAAAAATCCACACCTAAGTGTGGATTTTTTTCTTTAATTGAACATGTATATAGCTGTTTGTTATTTGACAAATTTTAGTAAAAATAAAAATTGAAAAAAAATCTATTTTGTCAGACAAACAAGTCTTATTGCTGTTTCTCTTAAAATAAGTAACATAAAATTAGTTCCAAAAAAGTGATAACTAGGGTTTAAAATGCATTTTAAAAATGAAAAATCTTCCTTGAAGCTTTTTAGTTTTAATTCCAAACTAATAGATTAAATTTAATATTTCCAACAAGTGAAATAGTTTGCTGTATTTAAAACCAAATTTAAATTGATTGGAATTATTTTTTATTTTACTTTTTTTTCAAATTGCTAAAATCAGCCAAATTGACAAATCTGTCAGCACAACATAATTCTCTTTATTAAAGAACTGTTCAAATATAAAATATATTTTCCTGAAACTTTATTTGAGGAAGATTAATTCAACTTTGAATCCATTAATCTGAATTAAAACAAATGTTACTTTTACTTTAAAATATTGCAGAAAAGCGTTTTTTAATACTAACATTTGTGTTTTTATGACGTGCTGACAGATAAAGATTTTCTCAAAAAAGAAGAAACATTTTAAAAATAATTAATTTGTGAATAAGTCCTGAAAGTTTGATTCAATTCAAGAATTTCCAAATCAGTGTATTTTTCACTCAAATTTCCTATACAAATTAATGGTCTCATGTTGACACCAAAAGAATAATGTTTTTAACTAAAATTCGAAGGTTCTAAAAACAATTTAAAAATAACAAAAACAATTACTACATAAATCCTTTGATCTTTCTGTTTTATAATAACAGATTTTGGCAATAAAATTTGTATTTATTAAGTTTTGGGAATTTTTCATAATGTATGCTCTTTTTTTTTTTTTTTTTTTTTTTTTTTTTCCACTGAATCTTCTAAGATACATATGTTATATGACTTCTTTTCTACAAACCCATGACAAAAAACCCAGCCTCTTATCCTCAAAATGGACAAATTAGGTGTAAAGGTTAATCGCCTGTAATCATTCATAATTATGAATACATAAATGGAGTATGAAATAAGTGTATATATTGGATATTGCGTTTATTAACTCGATTTACTCTTGGAATGTGTATATGGATGTTGTACACATAAGTAGGTACCTCCAAAGATTCGCTAAAAAATGAGCATGTGTGATGAAAATATGTCCCAAACTAAAAAACTTTTGTTATCAAAGTCTTTATTATTAAGAGGAAAGACTGAAGGATTTTTTTGATTATTAAATTATATTTTTTAATCCTAAAAATGTTGGTTATTTTTTTTTTTTCTCTTGCATCAGCATGTGACCATAAATTAGTATAGGAAATTTTAGTGCCTTTTGTGGTGAAAAACACACTGAGTAGGAAATTCTTGCAAAAATCAGATAATTTAATGATAGTTTCAGAACTTAGTCATAAATGAATGAAATTATTAGAAAAATGTTTCTCATTTAGAAAATCTTGGTAAAAAATTTTTTTATATATACATCTAAAAGTAAGTAATATTTGTTTCAAATCAGATTAATTAAACTTTAAATCAGCTAATATTTCTCAAATAAAGTTTCTGAAAAGCATATTTTATTTTTGAAAGATTTTTTAATAAAGAATTACATTGTACTGAGAGTATTGCAAATCAGCAATTTTTTTTTTTTAACTAAATTTAATCAATTTAAATTAATTTTGAAATACAGCAAACTATTTTGCTTATTAGAAATATTAATTTTAATCTATTAGATTGAAATTAAAACAAGCTTCAAGAAAGATTTTTCATTTTTAAAATGCATTTTAAACCTATAGTAATTGTTTTTCTTTGGCAGTACCTACATATAAGTCTATATATTGGATATTATTGTTTCAATTTGAATTAAAAGTTCTTTGAATTTTCAATGTTAAATTTGCTTCATTTATATATGTGACTGGGTATTCTGTCCACTTTCGAGATAAGAGGCTGGGGTTATGTCCTGTTACCCTTTTCTACATAGATTAAAAAAATACAATTATTTCTATTCAAATTGAATTAGCAGCACTTCTGAATTTTTTCTTGTCATCTGAGCCATTTGATGATGAGGAGGATCACTGTTGAAACTAACATTTC